TTGCTTAGAATTGAAGGAAGAATTGGGTGTTTTATTAAACTTTGATGTGCCACGACTTTATGACCGACCCTGTATACTTAAATTTATTACCCGCTAATAGATATTTATACACCCCACAACTTTTATATTTAACTTTTTGCGGTACCTCCTATATTTTACCTAATAATCGACCATTTCCATACATAACAGCGACCCTGTATACTTAGAAGAAGATGAAGACATTTCATAATTTTGTTAAGATTACATTTGCAAAGTTTTTAAGAACACCTTGAATAATTTTGATAAATTATCGTAAACATTTGAATACAGTAAAACATTTTTTAAAACACAAGCAACATAAATTTATGAAAATTATGTATTGTGATGTTGAAATATATTTAATTTAATTATCTTTCCCTTAGACGCGGTCTCTTCAGTTATAAATAAATAACTTTTATCTAACAAATAACCATCTAAAAGATAAACAATCTAGAGCCTGATATCCATAGGATATAACATTTGGGTATTTTCATACAAAATAATCCAATAGTTAACAATTTGGAGGACGGCCGCCTACGGACCGGTAAACACTTCGTAGGGAAAGTGTTGCCAATATAAGATATCTGAAATTGAGATGGTTATATATGAAAAGTCGATACAACAGACAGAGACAGAAACTCGGAATTTCAAATCGTTAGATTAAAAATTGAGGTTATTGTTCAGTTGTCAAAAGATCGTCAAAATGAAAATAAAAACAATAAAATTCAACTAAAATATATTTTGTGTTCAACTCCAACTAGTCCTATTATAGTATAGGCTATTTAAATTTACCTTTATGGAAAAAGGGAAAGATAATTCAATTTCAGCAGTGGTGGTGGTGCAATATATCTATTGATGGAATGAAAATAAAATTCAACTAAAATATATTTTGTGTTCAACTCCAACTAGGCCTATTATAGTATAGGCTATTTAAATTTACCTTTATGGAAAAAGGGAAAGATAATTCAATTTCAGCAGTGGCGGTGGTGCAATATATCTATTGATGGAATCCGATTTATAAGAAATTAAAACAAGAAAAAATAATCTGTAAATAATTTATAGTTTAATTACATGATATTACTGTTATATTTATTATATTAACATTTTAGTACAATTGATAATAGAAAATATGGAAGAAGCTGGTAAAGTGTAAGCAGAGATTTATAAACCAATCCTAAAACCACAATCTGGTAAGTTATTAATATTGAAAATTAAAAATAGCATAAGACTGTTAGTAATAACAAATATGTTGTTCTAGGGCTCCTCATAGTAAAGAAATAGGTAGGATAGCATCAATGATACTAATTAAGGTGAGTTTTTATTTTACAAAATAGATAAATGCACTTATACTTTTGTCTTAATAATAATAAATGACTAGTACCTATAATAATTGTTACATTTACACATTATATGTATAAATTATTTAATAAAAAAATTTAAATAAAAACAATTTTGTCATATTACTTTTATTTTTAAGAACTCCAAGTGATGGAACTTCAAAAAAAAAGAAAAAATAAAGGAAAAAGCTTGTCTAAACAAAGTTGAACTAACTGGAATTCAAAGGACCACAATGAAGGTCTTTTAGCAAAGTTTAGCTAGAGAGTTACTTAAAAAACAGCATGGAGAAGAGATGTACCGTATGATCGAAAAAAACGGCGTCAGCAAAGGCTATGAAATAAAGATTGCTGTCATTTCATATGTAAATTTGTATGGGAAATATCATCGATCATCATTTCCCAGCCAACTGGACGCCGTTTTTTTTTGATCATACGGTATAAGGTACATAGTGCAAGAAATTAAACTAAAATTGTAACACAAAAGAAATAAAAGCAAATGTGAGTTGAATAACAGGTTTTATAAGGTTCCTGTTATAATATTAATGAATTAAGATATGCGAATTAAAAATGAAATAAACAGTTTGATTTAAAAAGTTTTATTTATTTTTTACCTACTTTAGAGCTTTATTAAAAACTAGTTGAAGCCTGGCGCATCCGCCACGAGATCAGGAAAAAAAAATACTTTTTATTTTTTTTAATTAAATGAAAAACAAAAAATCCGGCGACGACAGTTTTTAGAAGAGCCATTTAGCTATCTTTTAGTAAAAAAAGCAACTTTCTAGAGCAAGTCGTTACTTCAGTAGAGACGACACAGATAAACATTAGCATTTTATATAATATGTAGTAATGGTTTATAATTGAAAGGATTTAAATAAAATAATTTATAAATTACTGTTTTATCACTATTATCCTAACTTAATGCATTCTCTTCGTTCTGATGCTCTAACAGAACAGAGACTCTCTTTATTTTGTAACAGTCCTTATAAAGTCCGGCACTAGCAACAATAGTTTTTTGCACCATTTCAATGTGTTTATTGGTGTTTATACCCCATACGTTCTAAAATGATTATTGCCTACATACTCAGAATAGGTAAGTCTTTTCCAAATAATCTAAAATCGAATTTATTGGAATAAACGAAATCTTCAATAGTAACAATGTATTGGTTATGTTAAGCAATTTTGTCAAATATCAAATTTAATCAACACCTCCTCATGCCTTTGCTCATGCGTCAAATTTTTATCCGACAAATAAAGCACTATTTGGCAGTTCGGGCGCCAGATAGGATATCTGGGAGATAAGTTTAATTTATCTAATAGATACTGTTATCTATAGGTGAAGATACGCGTTTTTCTGCTATCCGTCAAATAAAATACTATCCATATATATATAACACGCTATCCGTACCTGAAAACACCGGGGGTTAGGATTATAAAATGAAGTGAATAATTTGTGTAATAAAATAATAAAAATAATACTCGTAGTGGAGAAGAAAAATGTAAAAAGGAAGGTTTTTGGCTCCTTTTTTGAGCACAAACTCGTTCAGATTCTGTCATCTTTGTGTTGTGAAGTGGATCAAACAGTCCAACTAAAATGTCAAATGTCAGCCCTCTGCCACCGCAAAGCACCTAGCACTCTATTAGTTTTTGTTCCTGTATTTGTCAATTCAAAACAAAATATAAGGGTTTGTTGGTATTAGTCAACCGCATTATTTTTTTTTATAAAATTCGAATGAATAAACACTTTTATATCTTAAAAAATTGTATATTTATTGAACAAAATTGGGAAAATAATACTACAGATCACAGATAATACAAACTAGTTTAAAAATAATAAATAATATACTTTAATGAAAAAATCATTTGATTATAGATAAATATTGTAAATTATATTACAAATGTTACTGTTTATTATACTACTAAGTAGATTATGTAAGTTAAGAATATATTGGAATAATTATTTAACTATGTATTAGTAAACAGTACAAATTGATGTCTAGGAACCTGGAAGATTGTTTAATAATAAATACTCAAATATACATTACATACAGAGTGGTGCACCTCATTCGCCTCGGCTGATTATACGAAAACGGAAAGATGTAGAAACATTTTTTTATGGGTATATGTACAGAGGCAATGTGCATAATTTAAAATTATGTACAGGGTGAGTTAGAACTAAGATCCATATCAAAGTTATATTTTTTCTTATCGAATTTTATATCAATTTTGGATTCTTAATAAGCATAAAATAAGGCATTTATTAAAAGGGTTTAATATGTTTAAATGCTTTGGTTTTTGAGATATTTAAAGATATTTAAATATGCATGCTATAATAAAAAGTTTGTCAACACCCTGTATATTGCTTTTCAGAGTTAATTCTTGTGCTGATTTTGAAGCCAGAGAAATAAACTTTTGCCGATATACAGGCAAAATATATATCTCCTTTAATAAAATAAAATGTATATCTTTTTCCAAGAAACCAGTAAGAAACAAGATTGTACCTTCCTATAGAATCAAGAGCCAAACTTATACAACTAAAATAAAAAAAAAACATATTAAGAGTAACCATGAGAACTAGTGCAGGAAAGATACTGAGAGACGTGAAAAATAGCGAAATATGATCAACGTCAATGGTAGAAAATAGAGATAGATATGAAAAATAAAATAAGAAGATATTGGCGGGACCATGTAGTAAGAATTAGAATAGACTGGTCTACCAATAGGATAACCACCCACATGATGAGCAGATAGCTGAAGCGCGAAGAGTGAACAAAATTGAAGTTGCTTCGAAATTAACAGACCTTTTAAATCTTCTAGAAAGTTTCAGAAGAAGAAGACAAAAATACTCAAAATATAATTCTATTATTATTAAATATTTTTAATAATCAAATTAATATAACAAGATTCCGGTATCACAAAGAGAAGCAATTGTACACCTTTACTAGTTCTGGTTGTGAATTTCATAATATTATTATGAAATTTACAACTAAAAATATAGTATTGCAAGTGACTTCCGAAGAGGGGTATACAGACCGGACCACCGTAGTAGCACAGATAACACATAATCCAGATGGCTCCTTACGTGTTAAAAATTGTCACCCTAATTTCACTCCAATTTGGAAAAATATTGGAGTGACATTTGAATAATCAAGTAGTTTTAGATTTCTTTTCTCACTTTTTTGGGAGGTTTTGCTTCTTTTGCACAGATATCGCTTGCACTTCAGTTGCGTGGTTGCCAAACGTTATATCAAAATATATTTCATTTCATTATGAATATATAAAATTAAAGGTATACCAAATTAAAAATTATGTAATTTATAAACATGAAATAGATATGTTAAATTGATATATAAATATTTAACTTAATACGTTCATTATTATTTTATTAATTTATCGTCACACGTCATTTACCAGTTGCCTAATTACGAAAAGTTTCATATGACATTAACCTCAAAAATGATCTTTGAAAACAAACAACAACAAACAGAGCAACAAATGAACAAATAACTACATAATGACTGATAATGATAAGTGATAATAATAACTTTAATGATATGAAGGCTGATGAAGGTAATTATAAACATTATTTCCAGTTTGTTTAATAAAATATAGGATACAATATAACTAAGCAAAATCAAACAATTTTAGACAACCAATACAAGATTTTAGAACTTGACATCGTGATAAACAAATTGTACATTCAGGAACTCGTTTAAATATTATAGGTAAGTAATATTTTCACAAAACTAAACATTTTAGCATAAAATCACAGATAATATATAGAATATTACCTATGATAAAATGTTAAATACTGATGTATAATACCTATGATAAAATGTTAAATACTGATGTATATTTATTCTAATCACATTTAAATTTAAAGTCAAAATTTTCATAAAAAGAAAATGATAATTTTTCGTAAATATAAAGTAAATAATATTACATATTTCAGGTTGATTGACGAATACTCTACAGTTGATTAGAGCCCATGATGATGCGAAGATATTAATATCACCTAACTTCAAGAAACCAGCATAAAGAAGTTTACATTCATAACTCATCTAACCATTATAGGTAATAATTTACAAAATTAGCCATTTTTGATTATAATATTAAGGTACTTAGGTACATTTTTATCTTCTAGATCAGTAATGTCGTCATAATTTAAATGAACTCACAGATAGCAATGGGGCACTGCACCGAAGCAGTATTACAAAATATGTGAAATAAAACTGTAATACAAATTGCTCTATAAAATTTAATAGAAATAAATTTATTTATGAAAATTAAGTTATGAAGTTTTATTTTTCCTAGGAAAAAAATAACATTTATATTTTGATCAATTTAGAACATTACAGTTAAAAAAATATGTGTTAGAATAACATATTTTTAATAAAATTGCAGCTTTTAATTTTTATACTTTTTTGCTTTTATATCAATAAGAACTAACGTAAGGAACAATTCATATTTATACTATGAAAACACATGCATATTTTTTGATGTTTTTAAAACCAGTGAATGATGTTGAAATATACTACACCTATTATTCTTATTAACTAACTTTAATTACAAACTTACACATTATTGTCATTGGAAATAAATTAATTTGGATATTCTATTTGTTTAGAAACTTTTTTACCTATTGTAGTTTTTTTAAAACCTACTTGATTTAAAACAAAAAAATGTCACCTGTTGTGACAAAATAAGGTCTTTTTTACTAGAAAACAATCTAGTGAGCTTTTCTAATAATACTTTATTTGATATACCATATGATCGAAAAAACGGCGTCAGCGATGGCTATGAAATGAAGATCGCTGTCATTTTAAATGTAAATTTATATGGGAAATGTCATCGATTGCCATTTCCCAGCCAACTGGACGCCGTTTTTTTTTCGATCATACGGTATAATATGTATTCCCATCTGTTAATCTTTTTATTTTAAGGAAGATTTAGGAAGGGTAGCTTAAAACATGTTTGTCGATCAATTATCTTTATATGTCGTTTGTAAAAATATTTTACAGTAGTAGAAAATAAAACTGTTTTTAAGGCGAACAGCTTCTTTGCTAAAATATTTTTTTGGTCCCAATACATAATGATTTACATTTTATTTTTAACTTCAAATAATGAATTTAATGGAAAAATTGCAAGTCATAAAAACGTTCTAAATATACAAATCTAACCATTTTTTCCATACCGTTGCTCCAGTTTTTTGTCAAATTAACGAATATTAGAAATAGTTTATTTCAACCTCTTCAGCTTATTTTAAAAATGTTGACAAATAACAAAGAATACACCCCTTAAAGTTTCGCATTTGTCTTGATATACTCTGTTAAGACAACAGTAAATAACTTGTAATATAACTTCGAAATATAAATTTGAAATTAAAATAATGATTTGTTATAGTGATTTACGTTTTATTAATTTTGATTTTTTTTTCTTAAATTTAATTTAAAAGTGATTTACGTTATTTATTAATTGAAACGTTTAAAATTTGAATATACGTTCAAATTTTTTTTTTACAATAAATTTGTTTATGATAAATAATTTTATAATAAAAATATGACCGAATTTCCTGGAAAGTTTGCCAAATTTGTACATATGAAAACCTAGCTTTACCACTTATCACAGAAAATCTCTATTCCTTCCCTTATCACAGAATAATACAGGAACGAACCATATGCGACAAGGATAGAATATTTAGATATGTCGTTACTGTTTTTTGTTTTTAATGGATATTTTAAAAGCCGGGTAATATATGGTAATCTGTGATGGTAATATACTATATACCTTTGACTGTCTTTGATTACAACTGTGTGATTAGTGATAATTATTATTAAAATATCTGGTAATAAGTGTCAATTTTACAATTGTAGATTTCTCGGAAATCAGGTGTACATGTGTTTAAGTTTCATGCGTCAAGAGATCCTAATTTATGTACAAAGTGGATAGAAAATTGTGAGTTCATTCATATAGAATTTTTTTGCACATTTTGTATGTAAAAATACGGCGTTAAGTTACCTTAGAAATGGTGATCGATGGCTTTTACCATATACCGTATGATCGAAAAAAAAACGGCGTCAGCGATGGCTATGAAATGAAGATCGCTGTCATTTGATATGTAAAATTATATGGGGAATGTCATCGATCGTCATTTCCAAACCAATCGGACGCCGTTTTTTTTTCGATCGTAGGGTATAATTTAACACATTAAGAGTTGTCCATCGTTATATTTCTATATCTATGCAAAGTTTACGATGGATAAATCAAGTAATATTAAGTGGATACAAATTATAAATGAATCAGTGAATATAAACTGTTATAAATTATAAGTAGGTAATGCAGTTAGTGAATATACCGTACGATAGAAAAAAAAGGCATGGGAGTGGGCTTGGAAATGAAGATCGCTGTCGTTTAATAGGTATGTAAAATTATATGATAAATCTTATCGATTGTCACTTCCAAATCAACATGACATGCATCTGTACATCATTAATCTCACGACTAGAGTTTCCTGAAATCCCGAACTCCCAGGATCCCGGCGGCGTGTATGTTTATCTCCGAAATCCCGATATTAAATTCCGGGATCCCGAAAATCCCATAAAATTTAAATGTCCAATCTAAAATGATTCGACTTTATACACCTTTCAAAGATCAACAAAACAAAGTAAAATTCATATTTAGTAAGTAAAAAAATGCAGTTTCAGACAATAGTTTGGTTTGGTTTGGTCGAGTTTTGTTAACACTGTCTAGTCTGGGCTTTTTTATTTGATATATATTAATCAAATAAAAAAGCCCAGACTAGATAAAATCAGGAGCTAACTAATAAAATCATATCAATTCTCTCTGATGTAGGATAAGTTTCTATTTTCGGAAAATTTCTTAGATTTTTTTTTTGTTTCAACTGACGAACTGACACAAAATGATAACTAGTTGCTAAAGTTGAACTAATTTGACAGCTATGTTGAAGTAACGTCAGACATATCACAGCCAACCCTAGATTTTATCAAATAATAAAGATCTATTCACACTAAATCATAGAAATGAAAATATCTAGGAAAATCTTTGTTTGAGGGGTAGGCCGGCAACTTTAATAGTATTTGGAAGTGACATGAATTTCCCACTGAATATCGGAATAATATTCTGGGTGATTCAATTAAACTAAAGAAGTTATACAGGGTGGGTATTAAAGGAGTTATACAGGTTATACCATAGACTTAAAATAAAATATAGACTGAGCATCTCATTCATAAATAGCTGGAACATGCGGTCAGACACTGTCTTGTTCACGATACACATAAACATGTTTACGTGTATCGTGGTCTTGTTATTGTTGTGTTATTGTTTTAGGTTATAACGAGTGCGACACGAGCGATAGATAGGTTGTCTCTGTCGTAACGGTCGTTCCCTGACGACTCTGCCGAGAAACACAACACTGTCTTTCGTTTCTCAAGTACACCTGAACTCCGTATCATAGCCGGGTAATTTTTTTATTTTAATGAAGCTATAATTAAATTAAAAATATATCGTATTTAAACTTTTTTATATTTTATTAAGATTTAGGACAGGTTTTTTAAATAAAAGTTTAGAAAAAACAATTTAGAGTCCAAATAAAATACACGTTATAGAAGAAATTTTATAATCGAAATTAGGTAATTTTTGAAATTAATAATAAATTATTAATTTTAGTCAAACATTTACAACCCCTAATATTAATCAAAACAGGATCTATTCCACAGATATAATAGAATCGGCGACAGGGAGAGAAAAAAAAAATATGATTGTTGTAATTTTTTTTCTGGTTAAGTGATGTCTTATTATGTAAATTAGAGAAAACATAATATCTGTTCCATTAAAGCAAGGAAGGTGATAGGAAGTGGATAAAATAAAAAATACATTTATTTAACTCGGTACTGTCTTTATTATACCGGGTGCGTCTCAAAAGTGGCTCATCCCCATAATTTTTTTATGTTTTCAAATAAAAAAACAAGATTTAGTATGTTAGTATATGAAGTAAATTAGGATTGATTGACGCATTCAATTGTTTTTGGTCACTTCCCGTTTCACCGGAAATGACTATAACTTTTAATTTTTAAACGGCACCCTCGGTATATTTCTACTTTATTCGATAGAAAATGACACTCTGAATAGAATGACATACCATATGTCAACTTTTGACATTTTCGCATATGGTTTTAATTGTAATTGTAACACGCGGTTCATAACGACAATTTGACTCGAAATACCAAGTGTGTGGTATCAATATATTCATAAAAAAATGCTTTTTCCAAATATGCTAATGAGTCACCCTTGTTCCATTTGAAAAAAATTGACATATGTATGATTAAAAATACGATATGTACATCTTTTTAACCGGCCTAGACAAGACACGAAACTTATTAGACGATCAAAACTATTTTTCCAAGACTCCTTGATTAAAACTTAGTGGATTGAAAAAACTGGATTGAAATTTAAAATAGGATATGTTTTTAAGCGACAATGTCAAAAGTTGACATATGATATGTCATTCTATTCAGAGTGTCATTTTTTATCGAATAAAGTAGCAATATACCGAGGGTGCCTTTAAAAATCAAAAGATGTAATCATTTCGGCGAAACAGGAAGAGACCAAAAACAATTGAATACGTCAATAAATCCGAATTTATGTCATATACCTACTAACATACAAATCTGTTTTTTATCTGAAAAATAAAAAGTTATAGGGGTGAGCCACTTTTGAGACGACCCGGTATATTAAAAAATATTGTTTCATAATGTAATATCATTTTAAAATTCTTGTATGTTATTTTAGATTCTGAAGATAATTTTAGAATAAACCGGAATATATTTTTAATAAAAACATTATTAATTATTAACAGGGTTATAATTATGATTTTGTTACAATGTAAGTAAGTAAATAATGTAATGTAAGAGAAAAAATTCAGATTTTACATTTTACTAAAATATTATCTAAATAAGCGCCTTTCTACAACAACGCCA